CTGTACCTCTCGTGCTAAACCAGTGAAGTGTAAAGCTCTGAACTGATAACAAAAAGAGCACTTGTCAACCATATTTCATTGGAACCTGAATACACTATTAGTAACAGCAATTAGTGTTTTATAAAAACAAAATTGAGATAGTAATGAATGATGATAGGTAGGAGGTAATGGAGGTGAGAAGGTGATGAGTAACAAAGATAATGATGATAAATTATGATAATGACAACGATTACGATAATGATGACAATGGTGATAATCATATTCGCTGATTTACCATGTATATTGATAAACATTCTTCGTGTAGCTGGAAGTCACTTATCGGCATTTTGAATATCTTGTTTTTCTTTGTTTTTTTCTTATTTCTTGTCTGAAAATTTACTATTTCTTCCTAGCTACGCTAATATTGACGACGTTGATATACAGTTTGAATGAAAATCCATTTCCCTCTGTTTTCTTTCGTCGCATACAATTGTCAGAATAGTTCTTTGATGATAACGACTGTTACCCATTGTCATTCACGACATCATTACTCACGATTATAACCCGATATCATCATTGAAATGATGCTGATGCTAGCTTCAAATATTCACCAAGCACTACCACTTCTCCTACCAGAACTATCACCACATCCTCTCCGCCTACTGCGACCAATTATCTCATAAATGAAAACAGGAAATGTCATGTTCCATTGTTCTGGTTCATTCACGTCATTCATCCCACAATTTGATGATTATTGCTGTTATTAGTGATAAAGCACTTTTATGCAACCATCACCTCCCCTTCCATGCTATTCTTTTCAGTTGTCGTAAAACAAATTTTTGTCAAAGGAATTTAGCATCGACAACTGCATCTTCGTTGTAATTATAACTAGCATTCTATCATTTATATACTTTAGATCATATCTTTTTTTAAGATCAGACTAAGATGTACTCGTTTGGAAGAGATCATATGAAATTCGCATGTGAAGAAAAAATCCAAAAAAGGATAGATTGTATTCTGAAGCATCTGACTTTAGATGGAAACTTCTCCATCCAAACATTGCTTTCACTGTTTAGAGAATGTACTGAAAGGATAGATACTCTTTCTGCAATTCCAGTTTACAGTTTTCCTAGAAATTGATCATCCCAAACAAAAAAAAAAAAAAAACTGGAAAAACAGGCTCCATCGCATTTCAGCAAGATTCGGAAAATAGCTAATAATTTTTTCTCTTCTATACGCCATTTCTATCCTAACAGAAAATTTGTTTCCTTGCTTCCCTTCAGCAGTACCGTTTTCAACAAAAAAAATGAACAAAAGTAAACGCAAAGATAGAAGCAAAACAGTAGGAGAATGGAACCTTCTACTCCTTGAATATTCAGATTATGAAGAAATCAGCCACATATTTCATCCATAAAACTTTCCTACTCACTATTGATCATAGATTTGCTTTTGATGACATTAGTGATGTCATGAATTACCTTTATTACTAGCTATAGCTCAGATACTTTCAACACTACCAATAGGTTCAACCGATACTCCGACCTCCCCTTGGTAGATCTATACAAAAGCTGTAATTGGCAGAAATCGGGATCTTTCACAGCCTTAAATCATATCTTGAACAGATCTCGCGCATTACTAGTAGTAGAAGTAAGAAGGCCAAAATCTTATGAGTAAATGAGGCTCAAGCAATGACACTTCTCAAATTTCCAAAAAGTATCCTTTATGGAAAGTCTTAAAGGAGATTTGCATTTTTTTTTCCTAAACATTCCGTGCAAAAGCACCGTGGACATAAACCTTTTGATAGACAAAACATTTAGCGCTATACGTCAGCTTTATTTGGTAGAACATACCAGCTCAAAGCAAATTTGAATTAAGCTAGTATGATTCACTTTAATGCACTCAAATAAAGCTAACATTTGACGTCGAAACTTTTTGAAAAATCACTTCTATGTGTAATGATATGGCAAACAGTACTAAAATAACTTTCGAGAATGTGGGCATGACAGTCGCCTAGTTCATGCATTTTGCTAACCATCAGAGAATTACCAAAATTACAACACAGATAACATAACGAAGTAATTGAAATTATATGCAATATCTTTCCATTGTAAGTCAAACCATTTTACGAAAAAATTCGTTTTATTTTATAAAAAATTCATATTATCAAAGTCAACCTTCTCCACCTTTGATGGATACAATAATTATTTTAACTCAGGACTACAACACTTCAAAACAGCCAGAAGCTAATGTATCACTGGTAATCACAATTGTATTCCGCAATATCCCAGTTTCCAGCGATAAACTGAAGTAGAAGAAAAAGTTTTTGAGAAGAAAAACAAAACAAAGTTCGACAAACTACAAAAATAACTTTATCAGATATTTACCTCCGGCATTCCTAGTTGAACACCATCTTTGTCAACGGTTGAAATTTCAAATTCGTTGTCAGCAACGCAATCATGATAAATACTTAATTCCAGACTTTTGCGTAATATGTCAACAGCCTGGAAAAAAGTCGCCAACATACTTCATTCGAGATTTCTTAGAATATTAAGTAAAATAATTTTCTAATACATATTGTAATTATTATTACTTAAAAAAGCTATTAAAAATACCTGTTCTTTTGACAGTTTACCATCGTTTTTTCGGTATTCCGTTTCAATAACCTGATTCAGCAGCATAGCACCCATACCGGTTGCAACGCTTTTTGTTCGGTATGCTACGCCTCTGAAAGAAAAGTGGTTTCAAGGGAGTTCAAAAAAGAGTCCAAGAAACAATGCATTTTTTTGATAATGGCAAAAAATATAACTTGCTAGTGCTGCCATTTACAAAATTTAAAAGGATCAGACACAACTGACATTTTCTGTATGCTAAAACTGCATAAAATAGTTGAACGGATACCTAGAAGTGATAACACCAATAAATGGTTCAAGTTGATCGTTCTGGACTTGCAATCCAGCAACTACCAATGTGTTCCAAAGTGGATTCATTCGTGTACGACGATAATAAAGCAGCGATGTCAGAAAGCCATGCAACATTTTTGGGCTTAGATCAGCATCAGGATCGTGCGATTTCAGCTCACATGTCTGCATAGAAAATTATTAGCCATAATTATATTAATTGAAAACAAAAAGTTATTCCAAGAGCTTGAGTCTTCAGTGCACATTTTGAAGAAAGTTGCAAACTAAGACGATCATTTCTAAATCTCATGCACTGAGCAATCATACAGTACTTCCTAATCGCGTCTCTCTACTTTATCCTTTCCAAAAAACTCAAATACCTGTCTTTCAATGACATTTTGCAACCACTGGAAATCAGCATGATCACCACCGAATGTAATAATAACATGATTATTTACACGATACTGTCGAGTTATGTGGCGGTATCGAGCCATTTTACCGTATGAAACAAGACGATCGCTCATCACAGCAACACCACCATCATATGCCAGTGCACAAACCGACGTCCCGGTACATGTCGGATTCCTGATAGAAAAGCAAATAAGCAACTGTTATATAAAAATTGAAATCCGATGACTGATAATAACTTCTCAAATTTTTAAAATAAATGTTCAGGAGGTGTTATATTTTTGTAGAACTTTTTTTAAAACAATTTTAAAGACTAATTCTTTTTTTTCTTTGTAAGAAAAAATACAGCTTCCCTTAAGCTTCACTTCAGAATAGTGAATTAGTTCATCACGAAAGCAACAAAATAGGGAACCTACATAGTTGCTTCGACTTCCGAAAACGACAAACACTGTTGGGCGTACATTGTTCAAATATCCTAAACAAACAAACACTTGCTGAAATGTTGCACTTTGACATGTAAGAGTACAAGCGTGATAAGAACTTATTCAGCCGATATGTTTGGACTACTTATGTATATCCAAGCCATACGATACGCTTAACTATTTCGTGATGGAAGAACTCAATCTTTGATTTGGGTGCGGAAATGAAAAACATATACTAAACTCATCCCGATAGTGAAACAATATTTCCCACCAATTGCTGTTTTTAGTTGAGGTTCTTCCATCAAGTGCAGAATGTTTGAAGGCCGAACAAGGAAAAGCCGTCAGAGAAGTGGATATACCTCCCATATTATAAAATGAGAATGAATTGATGTAACTTAAGTCTTTAAAATACACCATTAAACAGAATTCTATATTACAGAAGACGGAAGGTATGAAAGATAATTATGGAAAGTTTTCCTATTTATTGGTCGAGCATTTAGGGAGACTAAAAAGAGCCCAAATACAGAATACAGCAAGTCCAAACTGCATGAGAACAAACTTCCACATTTCAACCAGTTTAAACTTTATCCGTTATGGAAAAACGATTCATTTCAACATACCGTTCATTTCACAGATTACAACATGCGATTAATGGAAAAAATGAATCAAATCCAGTGATATAAAATATTATTTCAGTGGTTCGGAATTAAAAAAGCGCCTTTCATAACAAATATAAGCCAGTATTACTACTTATTCAATAGGCATCGCGTTTTCTTTTACTATGCATATTATCTATATTTTCAGTATTGATTTATTTTATAACAATTCTCTAATACATAATCATAAAATAATCATCGTATCATGAATTACAATTATTTGGGATAATTAAAATTGATTTGTAACATAGTTCATAATATGTTCCATTCATCTGTTATATTTATTAATAATATATCATTATTTATGATTTATTATAGATTAAAATTATTAAAAGTATATAAGATTTCTTTTTTTTTTAGGGATAAAATATAGTAAATTGTTGATAATTTATAAATGAATGATAAAAATTAACCTTTACCCTTCAGTTTTTAATTTA